GAGGAAAATCACAAGGAAATAAGTGATGATTCTTGGGAAATAATGGGGGACAAAGGGGTTGGTTTTATTGGCCTTATATTGGGTCATTCATGGAAGGTATGTGGGGACTGATTTGGTGGGTGGAGTGTCAATAAACTCACAAAAGTCTTTTGTCCTTTTGTTATTGTTTATTCAGCCTAGGTGGGAGACACAAGGGGGACAATGGTTGGTCAATGTTGGGGAATAAAAGAGGGGTTGTTTTTGGTCATTAAAAGGGGACAGGGCTGGGTATTATTTATGGGTATTTTGGAGTTATGGCTTTGGGTTACTGTGAGGGAAAACATGGGCAGGAAGTAGGGGCTGGAGGTGGGTCATGGTTTTGGCTCTTTGTGGGTGTTGTGTTGGGATTGTGAGGTTTATTTGGGCAGGGAATGAAAGGAAGGAAGAGAGGGTTTTACTGGTTTATTAAAAGGCTTAAAAGAAGGAAAATAACAACAAACAAAAAGGTTTTGGTTTATACACTCTTATTTTCGGTCATGGCTAAAATAAGAGTAGGAAAAACTTTATTTTGAAAAGGAAATATTTTGGATGTTTTGGGATGGTTTGGACTGAAATGGGAGTAGACCACAAAACCCTCGGGTCAAACGGAGGTTGTTTTGGCCTTTCGGGTTTAAGGACCATTTGAATTCAACTAAAATGGATCATAATATTTGAATATAAGTCCTTTGGTTCTTATGATAGTGTAAGGCGTGAGTGAGAGTTTCATGGGGCTATGCTCGGGTATAACAATGACGCTGGAGCTCACTACGATCACTGCAAAGCTCACCACTGACTGCAAAACTCACCATCCACTGCAAAGCTCACCATGATTTTCCAACACTTAACTTTTTTTTCAAAATTTGATGGTTAAATGCTTACAAAGCCCAGCAACAAAGCTCACTGACTCTCATTGCAAAGCTCACCGAATATGTGCACAAAGCTCACCACACTTTAAAGTTTAAAATAATTTTGAAAAAAACAAAGGGCGGTGGTG